AGGAGGAGGAGGAGGAAGAGGAGGAGGAGGAGGAGGAAGAGGAGGAGGAGGAGGAGAAATTGTTAGAATTTCCCATTATTCCTTTGTTTTCCACCCAGAAACAAGTTATTTTGGGCTCTTCCACAATGGAATTTGCATGAAAATCTGTTTACTGACCCAGTTCCCTAAGGGTGCCTTTGCTTTAGCACTTGCTGCAAACACCATTTTCATTGCACTGGAAACAGTTCTAATTGGACAAATTGTTACAATTACAGCAGCACCCAAATAAATCAAAGGAATCTAACGTGGACCTGCCACCAAGTCCGAATCCTACAACAACCAGTTCAATATTTACACCTTAAATAAATGTCCAGTCAATGCCATTTGTAGATGCTACTGGTATAGTTATATACCTCATTTTCTTGGAAAATATTAGTTTGAAGAAACTGATTATTCTGCAAATAGTCTATTAAAAAGTTAGGTGATTGTTTATAGCTAACTTCCTACAGTTACATATACACATATATGAGTTCATTCATACATATACATGGTAGTTCATCCACTTCACGATCTGGTATGGTTTCATTACTACAGTGTAAACTGCAGCATTTGAACTTGTAGGGGCCAAACAATACTAGTCAGAACTCAGAAGCACCGTGTAAAAATACGTCTCAATGAAAAATACATGTTCCTCTTTGGTAAACTCTCATCACAAATCTTCTACCAACTGACCTCTCTTTATGTTCCATTATTCCCTAGTTTTCATCCTCTTCTCCAACATCTGAACCTCTTTGGTGTTTGCACACCTCCATGCCTGTGACCTGCAGACACACTTTCTTCTTCAACTTGGATGCATTTTCCCACATCTTTCTTATTATCAAATACCTCTTCCACAAAGCTTTGGATTTTACCACTTGAATTTACAGTTATATGTTTTCTGAACTTCCTTAATACCCAAGTCCAAATTTAGCATTTGATCATGGAATCTTCCCTCTGGTTAAGTATATATTTGCATGTATCTTTTCCCTCACCAAATTCCATCCTTTAGAGGTAATATCACCCTCCCCAGCCCCACTATTCTGTTTTGTTTAGTTTTGTTTTTTGTTTTTCCTGACTCCTTCCTTTGAGGCTTCTGCCATCATTCCCTGCCTTTTCTCAGTCTCCTATGAAAATGACATCTCTGTTTTCATCTCTAATCTCCAAACTTCTTGCTTATGACTCCCTAATTTGAATTTTTAGTGAACTCTCTGTAAGGTCCCAGACTTTCTGCTGCCACCTGCTGGGCAGTTCCACAGGGAGAACTAAATTCAAACCAGTTTCCAAACATCTACAATTCATTCAGCTGTTTTCTCTGCTAACTAATCACATCACCATTTTTCTAGACTTCCCTGATAGAAGTCTAATGTTCAGAACCACCAGCACTTACCATTCCCACCCTAGGGCTAATCACCCACGATGTACCATAAAGATCACCTACTAGAGCATATATTCTGGGTGTCCTATCCCACACCCACTCTCCTGGGCAGAGATCACCCATTGCAGGACTCCTGGATGAGTCCTTCCTGATCTGCTCCTTCCCACCCCCCAAATCTTCCTCACACTTCTGCCAGAAACAGCTTCTTAAAATTATTTTTGAAATATTTATATATTGCTCAGGTATCTGAGTATTTCTCTGGATGAAAAGCCCCAAGTTATTCTTTCTTACAGGTAGGATAAAGCCCAAACACCTTCACTCTAGAACTTCTAGGGAAAACAAACAAACAAAAAGCCTTCAAGACCATTCATGACCTATTTCTTTAGCTTTACCTGTCATTAATCTCCCTTTCAATCAGGACTCACTCTAGCTTTCAGAACTGTTTTATCACTTTTCTTTGAACACGAGACTCCTTCTGGCTCTGGATCCTGGAATGTGCTGCTCTCATGTCTTCACATGGTAACAAGGACTCAACTATCACCTCTTAGACCACCTTTGGAGTGCAGAAAATGATACCACCCTCTCTCCCAGTTCTATCTAGTCTCTTCTCATGTTTATTTTATTTCTCCTAAGCACATCTCAGCATCTGGAAGTGTACGTTTACATATTTAGTGTCTGTCTCCTCACATTCAAACGCAATCCCCATGAGCACAAAACTTGTTTCTCTTCACTCACCTCTACCCCTGAACAGAACCTGGCACACAGGAAGCCTGAAGTCAGATTCCTTCTCTGTGTGACACCAATTTTCACATCTTCATCTTCTCTCTGATTACATGTCTCCTCTAGCATTTAGCTATGACCTCTTTCATTTGAACAGCTATTTCTAAAAGGAGTGAGGTAGAGGAAATGGACATATCAAAACATGCAGGAGAGTGGCGAGGTGAAGGAGAGAATGGTTTAATAAAACACATGTTCAGGTTTTGCAGTTTTTTGTGTAGAGAATTTATGTGTTGCTATGGTTTAGATGTGAGGTGTCCCCCAAAAGCTCATGCGTGAGACAATGCAAGAAAGCTTAGAGGTGAACTGACTGGGTTATGAGAACCTTAATGCAATCAATGTGTTAATCCACACTAGATGGTAACTCTGGGCAGGTAGGTGGGGAGGAGATGGGTTCCTAGTGGCGTGATATCTGTCGACTAAGATCTCTGAAATCATGAGCCCCCAAAATAAACTTCCTCCTTTAATTGTTCTTGTCAGTCCTTTACGTTGTAGCAGTGAAAAACCACATTGAAACACGCTTCTTTTTTACAATTTTCCCTTTAGTTTCATGCTTTTTTATCCTACTATAAATAATATTCTTTATCATTTTCAATGTGTTAAGTTCTAACACATATATTATAGATGGATGTTTACATTGATCTCACATCCATAACCTGGCTAAATTTACTTCTGATTGCTAAGTAATTCTTAAAATCTCATAGTTGCTTTCTATGTACACAATCATGTTCTCTGCAAATAAATACAGTTTCATTGTAACATTAAAAATGGACAGTGTCATTATTATTTTTAAGCAGGAGCAATAGAAAATTAAAGTATCAAAATTTCATAACTGCTCTAGGATTGCTGCTATGCTTGGATAGAAAATAACAGCCTTACATCAGAGGGGGTGTGGATAAAAACAGTGGAAACCACTGTTCTATAGCAACTTATGGTCCATCATCCTCACTACATTTTGAACTCCTAGAGAGCAATACCACATCTTATTTATGTGTTTATAGCCCATCAAACCTAACAGAGTTCTTTCTCCAAAGTCAACACTTAATAATGCTACTCGAATAGAACTGAAATACCCCAGAGCTGCACATGTGGAGTATGTTCAGTAAACACTTGTTGATAACAGTGAGAACCAGTAAGAAAATCTGAGCTTGCTGAACCACCAGCTCACACTCTGCTTTGCTGGGAAACGATTATGAGAGGGCACAAGGGAGCAGAAGACACTCTCTTCATCATTCATACTAGAAAAAAAATTTCATTCTCCAGGTAATGCTAAAACAAATGCACTGAGGAAAATATTGAAGAGGCTACCTGTGCATTTCTTTATATGACTGTTCCTTTTTCCATGGGATCCTAACTTGCATCCAAAATTCTCCTCCCAAAATTCTGCAAACCACACATTTCTTCGATTATTGGCAAGTGTTCGGCTTCTAAAATATCGATCAAATCCTGTTTGAAAGAAAAAAAGGTATGTTTTTAATATTCTTTCCAAATCAAAACTAGATACTGTCAGGATGTTTAAATAAATTAGATTGGGATTGATGCATGAAAAATTTTTATCTGAATATAACACATAAGGGAGAGCTAGTAGCCCAGTTGTAAAGGATTCCCTATGGCAAAGGCCAAGGAGGATCAGTGGGCAGTATTTTCATCCCTACCCTTAGCACCTGGCTCCAAGTATCAGTACAACAGGAAAGCCTGCTGCTGTTGTCATCCTTATCACCTCTCCCACTACTCTACATTTCCTGGGGCCACAACCAGTGGATCATGAATGTTCCAGACCCAACTTAGACTTTTAAAATTCTTTCTCCTCTCTCCTCACCCTCTCCTAGCATGGATCGATGTTCCAGAGTTTCCTATGTCTCTACCCATTTCAAAATATATCTCTCCTACATGGTCCATGTTCAGTCAATTGAGTAAAGCAATCAGTGCTAATGGGATCTTATGGAGTCACAGGAAAGTGTGCTGAAGTGTTAGTTTGGTCAGGTGACCACCTCACGGAAGGCAGACCACCTGTAAATAATGCTTCCCTCCCAAGGATCATGATGAGAGTAGGAATTTTAGTCACAGTCATCAAGGCCATTTGGAAAGATATTTGGGAGACAGACTCTATTTCAAGGATGCTCAAAATCATTCCTGTTGGATTTATTTATCCATAGAGTCTAACTAGCAATTTGTATCTTTTTTTTTCTTTTAATGAATCAAACACTTTCCCTCAACATACTATAACCCTCATATATTCCCATGAAAATATGCAAACTTAAAAGTGTAATCACTAGCATGGAATCATCTAAGGATAACTGGTTCTGCTTCTTAAAAAAAAGAAGATAAAAATAAAATATAATGGGTACTGTTTTGTTCAAAGAAAAATACCTAGTGGTTAATGTTATCCATTAGAAACCAATCTAACGGCTACAGTAACTGTGAAGCTACTGTATCGACAATTCTGCTCTAAGAGCTAAACATTCTACTCAGAGTCATCAATAATGGGCACATTTCACTGTATTCTAATGCTCTGCTTTGTCTTTGTGTTTTGATTCAATTGGAATAAAAGGAATGCTCTGTGGTGCATCCTTACCATCAATTGATGCTCTTTTGGGCAAAATTGTCACAGCCCCTTCTGCGATCTCCTCCTGCTGATAAACAGGTGCTATTTTGGATCCCCAGCTATCTGAGCCAATCCACAGAAAATGCCCACTTTGGTTTAATTTTTTGGCCGCTTCCAATATCCTCCTGTAGGAATACAAGGAAATAAATATACCACTTTTATCAAGAAACACTACAATTATGGAGATTACAAGACTAGTATTATAGTTTGAATGTGTCCCCCAAATTTCAGGCATTGGAAGCTAATGATTTGAAGGTAGGGTTTGTGGGAGGTAATCAGAGTTATATGAGGTCATGATGGTATGGCTCGTAAGATGGCATTATGGGATTTATAAGGAAAAGAAGAGAGAGTCAAACAAGAAGCTTCTGTCTTGCTACATAATGGCCTCCCCCATGTTATGACCCAACAGGAAGGCCCACAGCAGATTTCACACAGATGCTTGTGTCATTCTCTTAGACTTCCAGAACCAAGAGCTAAATAAACCTCTTTTCTTTATAAACTACCCAAACTGTGGTATGCAGAAATAGCAACAGAAAGTTAAGAAAACCAGTCTGATGAAGCTAAATACGCTCAGGAGGTCAATGTTAAACAGTTAGTCAATCATTCTAATTGTGTGAGTCTTATCATCTCCTAAAGAAAATATAGCAGAGACTTTAACTCCAGCACATGTGTTAATTAGCCTTATCTTCAACCCCATTCCCATTGCTCTTATCATCCTTATTTATCTCATCTCATTCAGTTCCAGGCTTTACTCTATGGGAATTTAAGATGTAGAAACTAGAAGCTTGTTGTCTGTAGCAAAAGGCAGCCTGTAATTAAAAGAGAACTTGACAATTCCTGTGAAATCCCAGTTTTGACACTGAACATAAAATATGGCATCCCCAAATCCAAATATGAAAAAAAATATGGAGCATAAATCTGATTCTTCATACAAAAGAAAAGTAACCAGCACCTGATGTCATCCTCATTGGCAAACATAATCACTGCTCGAGCATTAGGTGTTTCTAGCAGGCGTTTGATAATTTTTTCAAATTCTCCAGGTCTTGGTTCACGTGGAATTTTCTGTGACTGAGCAATGCAAACACCGCCTAATGGGGAAAAAAAGAGGTAATTCAGAAAGAGTGTGTGTTTAATTAAACCTTAATGATGCCAACTACTTTATAAAAGCATATGATTCAGTATAAGATGCTGTTTCTCAAAACACAAGTCATTTACCTATTAAAAGTAATTATGCTTGTATTATAATATGTGCATCAAATAAGGAGTATTAATTACTTAATCATATATGAATTTGAGTTTTTTCTCCAAATGTAAACATTATTTTTGTGGATGTAAATAAGAAAACCAAGGTGTTTATGATGCATGATAAGAGTCAAGGAGTGGAAGGGAGAGGGTTGTTTACGTTTACTCAACAGAAAGCCAAAGGACAGGTGACTGAATTAATAAAAAGTCTGAGTATGTTTTATAGGTGAGACCTCTATTAAGTATCAAGGTCCTTTTGCTACTTTTCTTTATTAGTAGACCTCACTGAAAGTTAATTTCATTTTATTGCTAATAGTATTGCAGCAAGATTCTCATGCATCAGTGTTATGATGTGTTATGAGACAACTAGTCTCCAAGGCTCTCTGAGACACAGATAAGTGGCATCTTGTCTGCCAACACCAGAGACAACACCAGAGAATAAAAGTGGCAGAGATCCCATCCAAACTGAAAGAAAGGGAGGGAGGAAGGAAGAGAGAAAGAGGAAGAGAAAAAAGGAAGGGAAGAAAAAGAAGGAACTTTTCTTTGGGTCTTTTTTCTAAGGCAATGAGAAGCCAAAGAGAAAACTTTTGAAGACCTCTCTTCCTCTGGAGGGAAAGAGGTTTCTCCAACTACCATGGAACAGAGAGAAAGCATACTCTGATATTAGAAAAGAAAGCAATACTAGCATAGGTTTCTACTGCATTATGGTTTAAATAGGATTTTTTTTTAGTTAGTCAAGAATTAAATCACCATTTATATCATTGTTTCAGTGGGCAAAGACATTTTTACTTCCAAACAATTGACAGTATATTTAGTCACCCAACATTGCTGAATGCCATTACACAATGAATTGGACTTAACACTGGAACAGTCCAGTCCAGTCCAGACCAGGAGATGCCATCCAGTCTGGGAGTTAAGTGTTTCATAAGTAATCTTGGATATGTGGTAAAGCATAGAATTAACAGAGTATGCTATGCAATGGGAACACCAGAAGGAATTACAAAAAAAAAAAAAAAGTCTGAATAAGCTAGATTTTAAAAAGGAAACACACATCCATATAAAAACAGGACACTCATGGTAGAGCCCAAGGTAGGCAAAAACCTGATTACAACCTGTGGTAGAAACTGGCTGGAGTTGAGGTTAGAAAGAATAATCAGCTCCAGATTAAGAATGACTTTTTAGTCATGCCAGATGCTATAGATTGAATATTCATATGTTGAAACTTAATCTTCACTGTGACTGGGAGGGAATTGGGTCATAAGAGTAAAATCCTCATGAATGGGATCGGTTCCCTATCAAAAAGAGCCCAGAAAGCTCCCTTGCACTGGCTGGCATGTGAGGACACAGCAAAAAGGCAGCTCTCCATGAACAAGAAAACAAATCTCTATCAGAATCCAACCGCACTGGCACCTAATTATGGACTTCCAGCCTCCAGAACCAGGAGAGATAAATTCCTGTTGTTATATGCCACCCACTCCATGATCATTTGTTACAGTGTCCTGAATGAACTAAGACATTAAATAATATAGGCTTTATTTTAAAAACAATAATAACAATAATAGCCAGGCTTGGTGGTGCAAACCTGTAATCCCAGTGGCTAGGGAGGCTGAAGCAGGAGGATTTTGAGTTCAAAGCCAGCCTCAGCAAAAACAAGGATCTTAGCAACTCAGTGAGACCCTGTCTCTAAATAAAATACAAAAAATAGGGCTGGGATGTGGCTCAGC